AGCACTAGTAGAAAAGCAAGACTCCAGCACACAAGCAGAATCAGCTTGGCATATGCTAAGAGGACAAGTTGATAAAACAGTTAAACTAACTGGAAACAAAGAGATAAGTGTTGAAGATGTCCTCCAACCCACAGATAGTTCTCTGTCTCTCAGAGTAGTAATAGATGGTCCTCCTGGTATTGGCAAGACAACACTCTGTCGTAAACTGTTAAATATGTGGTCTAATGGAACACTTGTACACCAACAGTATGACTTGGTACTTTACTGTCCTTTAAGGAATAGCAAGATAGCTACAGCTACTACACTAGCTGACCTGTTTGAGTATAGACGTTATGAAGTTCCCATGGTAGCTGAATGGTTTGAAAAGAGGAATGGAAAAGGATTACTGATAATCTTTGATGGTTGGGATGAACTAAGTGAACAACTCAGACAGTCTTCATTAGCTGCTAGTATCATTCATAGAAAGCAGTTAGACCAATGTTCAGTAATTGTTACCTCTCGTAGCTATGCCTCCACTTCACTTTTGAAAATGGATTCTCTCAGTAGACATGTTCAAGTCATTGGGTTTTCTAAGGAAGAAATATCAACAGTAATTATACAAACACTTCAAAAAGATACAAAACTAGCACAAGAACTTGCTGATGAAAATACAAATTCTTGGAATCACTATAAATCAAATTTCACAACTACTCAAAGCAGTAAGGACTCACAACTAGCAGTGAAACTCATTAATGATCTTAAAGTGCGAAATGATGTGCAATCATTGTGTTATGTACCACTAGTCTGTTCCATGGTCATCTTAGTTTATTGTAAGGAAGAAGGACACTTACCAACAACACTCACTCAGCTCTATGAGAACTTTATCCTACAAACTATCAGAAGGCATGTGGAAATAAAACCAAGACATGACATTGACCCATATACTTTAGGTAGTCTTTCTTCATTACCATCACAATTAGCTAAACCTTTACAAGAGATATGTCAAATAGCTTATACTAACCTGGCTAATACAAGAATGACATTCTCTTCACATCAACTACAGGCACTGAGTGAGGCAGTCAAGGAAGACTATCTTGGATTGATGACAACATTCACAGAATATGATGAGGAGAAGTATCATTTCCTTCACTTGAGTATACAGGAATTTCTAGCTGCATGGTGGATAGCTAAGCATGAGGAGAAGACAGAGGAAGTGTTTAAGGATCACTTTGATGATGATCACTTTCGAATGTATCTGAGGTTTGTAGCAGGTCTAACTCACCTTGAACATGAGAGCTATCAACAGTATTTTAATAAAGAACAACTTGACTTACAGTGTAAGAGGACACGGTTGTCTGGACTTCAAACTTGTTACCTCTCCTACTTCTATCAGAATCCTGAACATAAAAGAAGTTTTATCCAAAGTCAGATCAACATTAATCATATCAGATATGATGATTTTGACAATGTTCCCATTCTTCTTTTTCAACTCCTGTATGAATCACAAAACACAACATTATGTCAATTATTAGCACAATCCATCAACAACCACTCACTGTGTCTGGATAGATTTCGAGTATCATTATCATTGTTTGACTGGTTGTGTCTCAGTTATTGTATAAACAATTCCAACACAACATGGAATCACTTGCACCTGGGGACTGTATATAACCAGTCACTATCAGTCTTTATTGCTGGACTAACCAATAACTCACTACAGACCCAGTGTAAGAGACTGGAGGTAGGGTTGGATGAACCCACTGGTAAATTAATACACAAATTATTACAATCATCACTTCTATACAATATTCATGAGTGCTACTGTGTATTATCATCAGGTCAATATGTTCCCTGTCTTGTATTGTTACAGTTCCTCAATCTTCCTCAATTGAAGATACTGCACTTAAGAGTGTATTCTCCTGGAATACCAACAGTTGACAATACATGCTACACAGAACTTGAGAAATGTATAGAAATGAATTCATCACTACAAGAAATAAATATTGGGTATAGTGGACTTAACGAACTAACAAGTACCATTATCAGTGTCATTAGAGGAGTAACAAGAAATAAAACAATAACATCATTAACAATGCATAATGATGATACTTCTCTTCTACCTGATGGAGTAATAGAGCAGTTACTAAAGGACAACAACACATTACAAGCTCTTTCACTGTACTTACATGATAAATTCCTTCCATCATCACTGAATATAGTAGAGGTGAACACACCACTGACTGCTCTAGAGATAGGAAGGGGGAGAAGTGGTAAACTGATGACATCACTCCTTCCACATATCAAAGGATTACACTGTCTGATACTACATGTACATGATCCATACCCACCACATCTTCTATTTCTCTCTCATCCCAGTCTACATACACTTACTTTACTGGTACTAAACACAGCTGAGAGTGCTATTGAACTATTTACTATTCTACAAACCAGTACTACACTTAAAGCTCTGAGAGTGATGAAGATAACGAAGCTGGAGGTAGTATATACCAGCAGTATGGGTACTAGTCTACAAGACATGCTAACACAAAACCAAACACTGAAATACCTTGAGATTAACAGTTACCATTATAATAAACCCATTCCCAGTTCATTCCTGTCCTTCCTAACAAACTGGTCTCAGACACAACACCAGTCTACAGCAGTTGAGTGTATCCATTCCATTTCCACTAAATGAAGAAATAAGAACTTTTATTAATGTCATTTCTCAAAAGAACAATCTCACAGAACTTAAAGTGAACTTTGTCTCTAAACTAGATCAGGCATGCATTGAATATATTGAAAATAACAAGCATTCATTTCTGGAGAGACAGAGGTGTGATAAAACAACACTATTGTGTTATGAACAGTTACTACCTGCTGTTATTAAGATCTTACAGTCACATACAACCATCAGACTACTGAGGATAGAGTGTAATAATATTAATGATGAGTCATCTCAACATAACTGGATAGAACTAGTACAACATTTATACGAAACTATATTCACCCATCCATCACTTGAATATATTGAGATTATATACACTTCTCTCCTGAGGGATGTTCTTAAAGAACAAAGGAAGACATTGATTGATAGACACAGAAAAGAACAACCACACAAACCATTACCAATAGTGAATTTTATTGCATCATATTGGTAATTTTATAATACATATACTTGTAGTGTTATAATGTATGCCTAGACTCATTGGTTGCATGTCTTGTCTGTGAAACTATTTCCTAATTTGTGTCCTAGTGTATAAATGTTTGATTTTCTTGTTGTTGGTTGATCTTTTGATTGTTAATTATTGTTTTACAAGAGTAATATACTACATTTGTGACGAGGGAAAAACTTTTAGAGAATGGCTGTAGACTATATAGGCTTGGGCCAAATATTCTGGAATAATTTAAAGAATAGTAGGTGCAAAACTAATGAAGAATAATTTGAGAGTTATAGGATGTATTTCAAGAATAGTGAGAGGGAGTAAGGGCTGGTTAAAATTTTAACAAAAATTGATGCAAAATATGGACATGTGTTGGTTCGAACATCTAGTGATGCATCTGAGAGAGTTTTCATACTCAATCATTTATTCAAATCACAACAGACTTAAATGCATCTAACATTATGGTTAACACTAGATTGCATGCCATTTTTAACCATAGATATACAATGTTTTAATTTGATATTGAGAATAATATTGAGAATAATAGGTAGGTATTGCAGGAATTAAGGAATAGAATAATAGGTAATATAAAAAGAATATTTGCTACTGCAGACACGGTAGCATTATTATTATAAGAGAGAAATTAATTACACTATACATAACAGGACTGAGTCCATCCAAGAGGAGAGAAGAAGAGGAAAGAGAATTTAGGAAGTGGACAATAACAGTAGCTAAAATGGATTGATATAGAAAAATCAATATTACTTCTAATGTGATTGATAATGACCCATTATTCCGCAATTGCAGCTATAGAGCTGATACCCACTTTTCTTGATCTATGAATATACACCCATCTTTTATACTGGTACATGAAGTTGATTTGACCTACTACAGTAGTGCAAAAGCTTGTTTTTTTAGTTGTGAAAGTTACTAACTTAGCACTGTACTTCGCAATATGCCCTATCCTGTTTGCTAATGAACATTATTAAAGACATTATATGTAATAGTTTCAAGCTATAAAACAGACAACTATTAGTGGTACCAACTACCAAGATGACTAAAAGTATATAGATAGCAGCAGCTATAGTGTGCAACAAAGGAGCCTCATCATTGATAACAATAATACTATTTTTATTAGCATTAGGTTACATATTGTATGTCATCAATCACATGAATGTTATTATAACAGCCCTGGAATTCCTCATGGCTTGTGGTTAGAACTATTCCTACTCTATTCCTCTTCCTTTTAGCTCTAAAAATCCTTCTTTCTTTACTCAAGTGTAAGTGATCACTGAAATAGCTATAGCTTAAGTTACCTAATTCTCTCATTGTCCTCCATACTATAGTACAAGATGATTGATGTCTCTCAATGGAGAGCAAGTATTGGACTGTGGAACTACTGTCAAGCTGCCTCCAGTAGACCAGCTAATGGCTGCCACTCTCACTCATTCAAAGCTGCAGTAGACAGCAAGTCAGGCAGTACTACATCAGGAGAGAAGACATCTAGACTGCCAGCAGCTCTGTCTCTTATTGCTTTACTCCTCCTCCTCCTCTTTCACTCTTTCTCTTTATTAAGACACATCTTGATGATTCCTCCAACAAGTAAACCACAATTGCAAATTTGTACTTTATATTTACTGGTACCGGTATTTCATTATTAGGTAACTGCTACCAAGTACAATGTACTACTGGTGTTACTGTTACTGATACAAATTACCTCCAGTCAGTAGTCTTACCTGGAGGCAGCAGTTCTAACCTGATTTACAATGATCTCTATTTGATTGTTTGTCTATGTATGCTCCTCCTCTTATCAGGAGATGTTGAACTCAATCCTGGTCCGATGATTGATGATCAACCAACTTGTCTCTTATTTGCAAAGTGTCTTAAACCACTTGTTGACTGGAAAACATTTGCTCTTTTTCTTCCTGGTGGAATAATACAATCTGATGTAGATGTTATTGATAACACAAAAAGAAATGCTCACCTCATGAAAATGGCTTTACATAAGAGATGGTTACAAGTTTATCCTACAGCATCATGGAGAGATGTCATTAATGCTTTGAAACAATGTAAAGAGAATGAACTAGCTAGAACTATTGAAGACAAAGTGACAGATCGTCCTACAGCTGGAAGAAGTACTAATGATGATATGGAAGTCAGTACCAGTAATGCTAATCTTGGTCCTATAACAGGTAAACATACACTTAATACAACACTCATTAACTGATACACTACTGCAGGTAATGATAATCCAAAGGATATATTATTTATATAATGAAATGAATTAGAATACTTAGTTCTTTTTACTTTTTATTAAAAATTTTTTTCTTTACAGACAAAGAGCTTAATATGGCAGCAGTTACAAAGATATTTACTCCTTCTGCTAGCCATTACATGCTAGTAGGAGCTGGATTGAATGTTAATGTGTCTGATCTGATGCCAATACCAGGAACAGCAGAAAACTGTCTTATTATTGTATTCGAGAGGTGGTTTGATGCTAATAAAGGTGTCAATTGGGATACATTAATAAAACTTTGTGATGACTTTGCTGATCAACTGGGCAAAGCAAAATCTAACCTCCTGGCATATATAGGTAAGATAATAAATCAATGTCAATGCATCATTGCTATCTCTAGGTGATCAATATAGTCATTATATCTCAATACATTAGGTCAGTCTATACCTGATAATGTCACATCCATTAGTTCAATACCTGATGATGTTCAAGGATATGCTGACAATATGAGAAAATACTACAAACACCAACCTATTGTTGCTACAGACTGGCCACCAAGAATTGGAAAAGATTTCTTTGGAAGACTAGCACTAGTAGAAAAACAAGAATCCAGCACACAAGTAGAATCAGCTTGGCATCTGCTGCTAAGAGGACAAGTTGATGAAATAGTTAAACTAACTGAAAACAAAGAGATAAGTGTTGAAGATGTCCTCCAACCCACAGATAGTTCTCTGTCTCTCAGAATAGTAATAGACGGTTCTCCTGGTATTGGCAAGACAACACTCTGTCGTAAACTGTTAAATATGTGGTCTAATGGAACACTTGTACACCAACAGTATGACTTGGTACTTTACTGTCCTTTAAGAGATAGCAAGATAGCTACAGCTACTATACTAGCTGACCTGTTTGAGTATAAAAGTTCTAAAGTTTCAAAAGTAGTTGATTGGTTGTCAGACAGAGATGGAGAAGGTTTACTGATAATCTTTGATGGTTGGGATGAACTAAGTGAACAACTCAGACAGTCTTCATTAGCTGCTAGTATCATTCATAGGAAGCAGTTAGACCAATGTTCAGTAATTGTTACCTCTCGTAGCTATGCCTCCTCTTCACTTTTGAAAATGGATACTCTCAGTAGACATGTTCAGGTCATTGGGTTTTCTAAGGAAGAAATATCAACAGTAATTATACAAACACTTCAAAAAGATACAAAACTAGCACAAGAACTTATTGATGAAAACACTGAACAAGATGAATGGCTACTAAAATTTGCAAAATACAAGTCACATTTTACAACTACTCAAAGCAGTATAGACTCACAACTAGCAGTGAAACTCATTAATGATCTTAAAGTACGAAATGATGTCCAATCATTGTGTTATGTACCACTAGTCTGTTCCATGGTCATCTTAGTTTATAAGGAAGAAGGACACTTACCAACAACACTCACTCAACTTTATGAGAACTTTATCCTACAAACTATCAGAAGACATGTGGCAATAAAACCAAGACATGACATTGACCCATATACTTTAGGTAGTCTTTCTTCATTACCATCACAATTAGCTAAACCTTTACAAGAGATGTGTCAATTAGCTTATACTAACCTGGCTAATACAACAATGACATTCTCTTCACATCAACTACAGTCACTGAGTGAGGCAGTCAAGGAAGACTATCTTGGATTGATGACAACATTTATGGAATATTCTAAAAAAAAGTATCAGTTTCTTCATTTAAGTATACAGGAATTTCTAGCTGCATGGTGGATAGCTAAGCATGATAAGAAGACAGAGGAAGTGTTTAAGAATCACTTTGATTATGATCACTTTCGAATGTGTCTGAGCTTTGTGGCAGGTCTAACTCACCTTGAACATGAGAGCTATCAACAGTATTTCAATAAACAACTTGACTTACAGTGTAAGAGGGAACCATTGTCTGGATTCGAGACTTGTCATCTCTCCTACTTCTATCAGACTCCCGCTGAAATTAGACAATACAATCATATCAGTTCTGATTATTTTGACAATGTTCCCATTCTTCTTTTTCAACTCCTGTATGAATCACAGAACACAACATTATGTCAAGTATTAGCACAATCTATCAATAACCACTCACTGTGTCTGGATAGAGTATCATTATCATTGTTTGACTGGTTGTGTCTCAGTTATTGTATAAACAATTCCAACACAACATGGAATCTTTTGGACCTGGGGAAAGTACCTAACCAGTCACTATCAGTCTTCACTGCTGGACTAACCAATAACTCACTACAGACCCAGTGTAAGAGACTGGAGGTAGTGTTGGGTGAACACACTGATGAATTAATACACAAACTATTACAATCATCACTTCTATACAATATTCAGGAGTGCTACTGTGTATTAGGATATCAAGGCCAATATATTCCCTGTCTTGTATTGTTACAGTTCCTAAATCTTCCTCAATTAAAGATACTACACTTAATAATGACTGATCATACTAAACTAACAGTTGACAAAACATACTACAGGGACAAGTGCACTGAACTTGAGAAATGTATAGAAATGAATTCAACACTACAAGAAATAAAGATTCAGAATAATGAAATAACAAGTACCATTATCAGTGTCATTAGAGGAGTAACAAGAAATAAAACAATAACATCATTAACACTAGATGTTCCTTTCGATCTTATTTTTTTCCCCTTTCCTTCTCTACCTGATGGAGTAATAGAGCAGTTACTAAAGAACAACAATACATTACAAGCTCTTTCACTGAACATAGATGATTTACTCCTACCATCATCACTGAATATAGTAGAGGTAAACACACCACTGACTGCACTAGAGATAAGAAGATGGAGTAGTAAACTGATAACATCACTCCTTCCACATATCAAAGGATTACACTGTCTGATACTAGATGAACCATACCCACCATATCTTCTATTTCTCTCTCATCCCAGTCTACATACACTTACTTTACCACTAGACACAGCTGAGAGTGCTATTGAACTATTTACTATTCTACAAACCAATGCTACACTTAAAGCTCTGAGTGTGGAGATAAAGGAGGAGAGAGTATATACCAGCAGTATGGGTAGTAGCCTACAAGACATGATAACACAAAACCAAACACTGAAATACCTTGAGATTCATAATAAATGGTACATCATTTTCCGTTCATTCCTGTCCTTCCTAACAACTGGTCTCAGACACAACCCCAGTCTACAGCAGTTGAGTGTATCCATTCCACTAAACGAAAGGATAAGAATTAATTTTATTAATGTCATCTCTCAAATAAACAATCTTAAAGAACTTAATGTTAACTTTGGATTAGATAAGTCATGCAGTAACTGTAGTGAGGAAGAGAAGAGACAAGTCAGGACACCATTGTTTTATGAACAGGTACTACCTGCTGTTACTAACATGTTACAGTCACATACAAACATTAGACTACTGAGAATAGAGTGCTGGTATATTTATTATAAGTCATCTCAACCTAACTGGATGAAACTAGTACAACATTTATATGCAACTATCTTCATCCATCCATCACTTGAATATATTGAGATAAAAACTGGACGACCAGTAATGTATCCTGCTCCTCCTCTCCTGGTGGATACTCTTAAAGATCAAAAGAAGACATTGATTGATAGACACAGAAAAGAACAACCACACAAACCACTACCAATAGTGGTGCTTAGATAAACTTAGTTGCAGTCGATGATATTAAAATAATATTTATAATAGTTATTGATATGAATATTCAATAGTTATGTCCTCAGTATTGTTGAATGATGAAGTATAAAATATCTTATTGGAAACATCAGTTATCATACCTACATATCACACACACACAAAAATAAAAAAGTAAAAAGAACTAAGTATTATAATTCATTTCACTATCTAACGCTTAATAACACTGCTTGACACTGTATAAAGGTAATATTGATGCTTTGAATTTTTTTAATTTTAATTAGTGTGCTTGAATTTGTAATAAAAATTGTTTGAGTGGCTAAAATTTAGTGCTACTATTTTGTATTTTTTGTATTATAAAGCAAAAATACCTTATACAGTATAACTAATATGATAATGATACTTAATTAATATGTAATAAATATAGCTACTTACTGCTTATCCTTGTAAATACAGCTGGTCTATATTTATTGTGTACTAATAATAGATAGACAGGAGCACCAGTCAATACTAGTATCAGTCCTAATAATATATACCACCTCTCTACTGATACAAACACTAATGGAACCGTTATTAGGAAGAGGGCGGAGCATATCATCACCATGGGAACGGGAGTCCATACCTAAGAGAGAGAAAGAAGGAGCAGAGGTATTTTAAAATACTTACATAATTATGTTTCCAAAATGGCAGGTTTCTTTTAGCAAAAAAAACCTCAAGAATATATACATGTATATATGAACATATGCACACATGCACACATGTACATGACATACATTAAGTTTCCAGGCTATTATTAATATGGTGACACTCGTATGATCAAGTTACTCAAGTTAAGTTAAGTTAAGTTAGATCAAGATTACTTGATTGATTTTTAAAAATATTTCCATGAGCACACATTCCATTATGTCTCCAGTACAGACCATCAATCAGTTCAATGATGACACTGAAATCATCTTCATCAATTAGATACTGTCTCACCTAATAATAAACGAATAAAATTTGTAACAAATACAAAATCAGTTTAAAATTTAACATAAGAACATGAATATTGCATCAGGAAATGTAATAAAAAATGAAGAACTCTCTACTTTCAAATTTCAGCAAAATTTGGCCCGAAACCATGTAATAATAGTACAAGGACTTTGGTCCAATTTTTAAGAATCTTTAAAAATTCATAAAAATGCAATGACATACAATGTACATGTAATAGGAGCATCCATGTTTATATTTAGTTATTTACATGTACATGTATTTGTATATGCTGCCAACATGACACCATAACTGTAAGGAAGACACAGACATATAGAATTACATGTACATATGTGACTCACTCCATTCTTAATGATCACATCAAATGTATGTTGAAGAGGTTAGTTTCACAAAGTCTTCTCTGTCTTTCAAAGTCTTTTCTGAAAGTCTCCCCTTTCATCGTATACCGGCTTACCTTGTAAACAAATAACGTAAACAAAAAAACAAACAAACATACATTATATATTATGATTTTGTGGTGATTATTCTTACCGTTTCTGTCCCACCATTCAACTGCCATTCCCATGTTCCTGAACTGTATCTCTCCTTTGTGTTCAGGGAGGGTTAGATTCTGACCAGCAAAACAAGATATGATATCTGTACCACCTAAAATAATAATAATAATAATAACAATAATAATAATAACAACAACAACAACAACAACAATAATAATAATAATAATAATATAATTAAAGATAATAATAGTAATAATAATAATAATAATAACAATATTAATAAAATAATAATAACAATAATTAGTCAATAAAGTCCGAACTCTCCTTGCCTAATGATCCCAGAACTGATACCATATTGCTCTTTTGTATAGCGACAGATAGACGTTGCATAAGACAGTTATACGAGTGAGGGTCACCTGAATGTAACATAATCCTCCTACCAAGTTCTTTTAAAAAACGACTTGATTTCGGGCCTACAGCACCCATAGTTTCAATAGAGAGAGGAGTGAAGAGATAGGAAGGAGAGAGATGGGAATATTTAGTTATTTTATGTTCCTCAGCTAAAGCAGCCGCAGATCCTCCAGCAGTAGCAGCAATCGTCACATAAGATGGAGCCAGAGTATCAGGGCAAGTGAAGTCCCAGCACATACATTTAATAATAATAATAATAATAATAATAAGCAGGTTGGTGGTTACTGTGAGCAACCATCAATATAAAACGTGCCATTTTGATTCCTTCTTCACATGCTCAGTGACACATGGTTACAAAATCACCAATTATAAAAATTAGAGTTGTACCGATTACCACTAAAATAATCGGAATCTGCAGATATAATTATGCCATTCTTTATCGAATCTGAATCAGTGAATTTTATTGCCGATTATTATAACTATTAATAACTA